AAGTCATTCGTTCATCATCTGATTTCCACTCTGTGTTCAAAATTCTCTATTCTCTCCTGATCACATAGCGGCCCCATTGTTGGTAGCGCCTCACTCCACTCAACTGTAGGTGTTTTATAAGACAGGCATCTGTAAAAGCTACATAGAGGTTGAGCAGAATCCAGAAATCGCTATTTTAGATTTGTAAGAATCAAGTCTGTGTACTTTTTCAGCTGGTTTAACAAACACTTCTTGTCCTCTTCACTTAACGAGTCAATATAAGTGCCTTCATTAGTCTACTTCTGGACTGAAGTCTTTGCTTCTTGCAGTATGTTTTCAATGGATATCTCTCTGATTGGTCCAAGGGTAGCTTCTATTGCTGGACAAAGATCTATTACTGTTGTAGCAGATGCCTGGATGGCATTGTTTAATGACCCAAGTGGTTTCAACAATAGACTTACAAGAGAGAGAATGGTTATAGTCTTCTCTGAAATTAGTAACACCAGCCTCACTACTTAGATCTGTCCTATCTTGGTAGATACTTTCCAAAGCCAGTAATAACAGTTGCAGTAATTTTAACACAACAGCCAAGAATCGCTCATTAGAGAGCCAGCAGGTTTTCCCAGGTTGGACTAATTTGAACTTCAATTTATTTCTTCAGTCTTCTATTTATTTCCAAGATGTTCAGTCCTTTTGGACTCTTGCTGAAAAAAGAGTATAACAAAGCCATTACATTTATGGCTTTTTAATGTCTTTTGAAGATTCTGCAGCTCGTACTAGTGCTAGCTGCAGTAGATGGCCTCTGCAGTGTGTATAGATGAGATTAGGGTTACACTTTTCTCTGAGCAAAGCTTGTACTCAACTATGTCTTCCAGAGAAGTTTGTGGCTCCATCAAATGCACAAGCAGCCAATTGTTTGGGGCTCAATTTACAAGCATTTAACTCTTCTAAGATGTCACAGATGCAGCTGATGTGTCTTCTATAACCTGAACATCTAGAATGCATCTACTGGCCTACCACGGACACCAGGATAACATACTTAATGACTTAATCATAGAATCACAGACCTGGAAGGGACCTCGAGAGATATTTAGTCCCGTCCCGTGCACTCAAGGCAGGACTAAGTATTATCTAGACCATCCCTGACAGGTGTTTGTCCAGCCTGCTTTTAAAAATCCCCAATGATGGAGATTCTACAACCTCCCTAGACAATTTATTCCAGTGCTTAACCACTCTGACAGTTAGGAAGTTTTTCCAAATATCCAACCTAAACCGCCCTTGCTGCAATTTAAGCTCATTGTTTCTTGTCCTATCCTCAGAAGTTAAGGAGAACAATTTTTCTCCCTCCTCCTTGTAACAACCTTTTATGTACTTGAAAACTGTTATCATGTCCCCTCTCAGTCTTCTCTTCTTCAGACTATACAAACCTAATTTTTTCAATCTTCCCACATAGGTTATGTTTTCTAGACCTTTAATCATTTTTGTTGCTCTTCTCCAGACTTTCTCCAAATTGTCCACATCTTTCCTGAAATGTGGCGCCCAGAACTGGACACAATACTCCAGTTCGGGCTTAATCATTGTGGAATAGAGTGGAAGAATTACTTCTCGTGTCTTGCTTACAATACTCCTGCTAATACATCTGAGAATGATGTTTCCTTTTTTTGCAACAGCGTTACACTGTTGACTCATATTTAGCTTGTGGTCTACTATGACCCCCAGATCCCTTTCTGCAGTACTCCTTCCTAAGCAGTCATTTCCCATTTTGTATGTGTGCAACTGATTGTTCCTTCCTAAGTGGAGTACTTTGCATTTGTCCTTATTGGATTTCATCCTATTTACTTCAGACATTTCTCCAGTTTGTCCAGATCATTTTGAATTTTAATCCTATCCTCCAAAGCACTTGCAACCCCTCTCAGCTTGGTATCGTCCGCAAACTTTATAAGTGTACTCTCTATGCCATTATCTAAATCATTGATGAAGATATTGACCAGAACCAGACCCAGAACCGATCCCTGCGGTACCCCACTCGTTATGCCCTTCCAGCATGACTGTGAACCACTGATAACTGCTATCTGGGAACGATTTTCCAACCAGTTATGCACCCACCTTATAATAGCTCCATCTAGGTAGTATTTCCCTAGTTTGTTTATGAGAAGGCCATGCGAGACAGTATCAAAAGCCTTACTAAAGTCAAGATATACCACATCTACCACTTCCCCCCCGTCCACAAGGCTTGTTACCCTGTCAAAGAAAGCTATCAGGTTGGTTTGACAGATTTTATTCTTGACAAATCCATGCTGACTGTTATTTATCACCTTATTATCTTCTAGGTGTTTTCAAATTGATTGCTTAATTATTTGCTCCATTATCTTTCCGGGTACAGAAGTTAAACTGACTGGTCTGTAATTCCCTAGGTTGTCCTTATTTCCCTTTTTATAGATGGGCACTATATTTGCCCTTTTCCAGTCTTCTGGAATGTCTCCCGTCTTCCATGACTTTTCAAAGATAATTGCTAATGGCTCAGATATCTCCTCAGTCAGCTCCTTGAGTATTCTAGGATGCATTTCATCAGGCCCTGGTGATTTAAAGACATCTAACTTGTCTAAGTAATTTTTGACTTGTTCTCTCCCTATTTTAGACTCTGATCCTACCTCATTTTCACTGGCATTCACTATGTTAGACATCAAATCGCCACCAACCATCTTGGTGAAAACCGAAACAATGAAGTCATTAAGCACCTCTGCCATTTCCACATTTTCTGTTATTGTCTTTCCCCTCTCATTGAGTAATGGGCCTACTCTGTCCTTGGCCTTCCTCTTGCTTCTAATACTTGATGCCTATTTGCATTCATCAGCCATGTATGCACATTCTTTGAATGTGGTTAAAGAGTTCTTCACTTTTTCAACTGCTGAGTCTTTCACTGTTGCACTGCCTGCTTCTAGACAGTCAGCTGAATGTTTTGCAGAAAGATAGTGAGCATTTGCCAGTCTTGTTCAGAACCAGTGTCCAACTTCAGGATTAACAAGTGACAATGCACTTAACATTGGCCTCTAGTTTGTAGTGTGTGGTATCTCTTGCTTAAATAGAAAGTATGATGCAACAGCCATGTTGGTTCACATAAACTGAGTTGTGTCTCCAGCATTCTTACAGCCTTATTAAGTACTTCTAAAATTGGCTTTGACAGTGACTGGTTTATAAGGCTTTCTGCATCTTGATGCAGTCCAGAGGCATGGTGTTTTGTAGCCTTTTCATGTAGGTTGTCAGTATTGGCTTGGCTGATCAGTCTGACAAACCACGGTCCTCCACTTTTACTATATAAATCCATGATATACCCACATCTTGAATACTGCTTGCAGTTCTGGTCACTCTATCTCAAAAAAGATATATTTGAATTGGAAAAGGTACAGAGAGAAAGGCAACAAAAATGATTAGGGGTATGGAACAGATTCCATATGAGAAGAGATTAAAAAGACAGGCACTTTTCAGCTTGGAAAAGAGATGACTAAGAGGGGATATGATAGAGGCCTATAAAATCTTGACTGGTGTGGAGAAAATGAATAAGGAAATGTTATTTAACCTTTCACTTAACACAAGAACCAGGGGTCACCCAATGAAATTAATAGGCAGCAAGTTTAAAACAAAAAAAAGGAAGTATTTCTTCACACAATGCACAGTCACCTGTGGAACTTTTTGCCAGGGATGTTGTGAAGGTCAAAATTATAACAGGGTTCAAAAAAGAACTAGATAAGTTCATGGAGGTTAGCTCCATCAAGGGCTATTAGCCAGGATGGGCAGGGATGCAACACCATGCTCTGAATGTCCCTAGCCTCTGTTCACCAGAAGCTGCGAGACAATGGGATGGAGCACTCAATGATTCCCTGTTCTGTTCATTCCCTCTGAAGCACCTGGCATTGGCCACTGTCAGAAGACAGGATACTGGGGTAGATAGACCATTAGTCTGACCCAATATGGCCATTCTTACATAAAAATTAATTATAATAATAAAAAGTACAGAAACTCCTCTTGAGATAGTGATGATGTGAGATAACAACCTTGGCAAATAATGCATTTTAAAAATCTTGGCCTACTAGGAAACATATATTTACATAAATAATGGCTTGGTGAGGAAGCTAGTCCTTGTTCATACTTTTCAAACCCATCATGCTTTCTCAGGTACAAGTATTTTCCCATATACTGTATATGCTTTTAAAGTGTCTATTAATGTTTCAATGTCAATTCCAATTTCCAAACGACTAAATTGGCAACACTGCATATAACTGGGGGTGAGGGGAGGTGTTGGGGAAATTCAGGGGGGGTGTAGGGAAATCCCTGGATATGGAAATGAGGGTAGGGGGAGCAGGAGCCTGGCATGTGGTGTCCCCCCACCAGCCGCCCCAGCAGGGAGTGGGCTTCAGTAGCACAGGGGGGCACCAGAGCATGCACAAAATGGCAGCAGCTGCTGCCAGAGTGGCCACAGCCCCCCTGCTCAGGTCGCCACAGCAGACAGCAGTAGCTGGGGATGCCCCATTAAACCATCCTAACCCATTCCCCCGACCCCATTCCCGTGGCACCAGCAGCCCAGGGACAACTGCAGGTGGGGGGAGAGAGCCAGCGAGCCAAGGGAACTAGCTTCACTGTGCACATGTGTGTGCGTGCCTGGGCTTCTCCCCTCCCCCCCCCCGAATATAGCAGTCAAACTATGCGTATGCTCCTTTCTGTGCCATCTCTTCACCTTCTCCTCTCTCCTATGTCCCAGGTCACCCCTTCTTCTCTGTACCACCTCCTGCTATTTGTCCATGGCATCTCCTCCTTTCTCTGTGCTACCCACCCTGTAACCTCTTCTCAACTCCCAGGTCATTCCCATCTCCCTTCCCCATGTTATCCCTTTCCCTTTACCTCTTCATCTGCTATTCAGTCTGCTGTTCTCTGTGCCTCCCATGTACCATCCCCTTCCCCCTGTGCCACTCTGCCCTCTTCGCCCTCTGGAGGCATTATTCTCCCCATTCCCCACCCCTTCCCTTCCCGTCCCCTGCTTTCCTCTGCAGGGCAGAGCAGGGAGGTGCTATCGGGGGGAGGCGCCTGTGCTATCCGCAGCCTTTCCTGCGAGCGCCCTGGCACGCAAGTGAAAGTGAAAGGGGGAACCGGATCATTGAGGACGCGCGACCACTCCTAGGCCGCTTCCCAGCTAGGATGGAGCCTGCAGGGGCCCAGAGGGAAGGAGAAGGGGGGATTCCTGCTCGGTCTACGTCAAGAGCCGCTGGATACCAGCCCGGGGAACAAGAGGAGAGAGAGCCGCTAACAAGCACAACACCCCCGGGAACCCCGGAAGATCGCAGCTCGCCCTGCACTCAGTGGGCACCCGGCACCGGCCGTGAGCCCCAGGTTCGCAGCGGGTCGAGAGATCGGAGTCTTGGGGGTGATTCTGAAACTGGGAGCCCTTCGTTACCGCCTAATGCAACTTTCTGGTTACGGAAACTGTCGGGATGCGGGGAGCTGTTCAGTCGGCTGAAGGAAGCTGTGTCCGGTAAGAGATTTTAATTTTACTCCATGAGACTGTGTGTGGAGTTGGTGCGATCTGAATTGTCCCCACTCCTCTCCGCTGCAGTATGGGCCTAGACGCATTTGAGGGGGAAGGGTGCCCACCTTTGGGGGTGGGGAGGTTTCGGATGGGGGAAGGGTAAGGGAAGAGAAAAGGAGGGTTGTGTTCGGGGACGATGACCGAAGGGAGTGAGGAAAGGAAGAGGGCTGGAGATGGGAGGATATTACAGGAGGAGGAGGTTGTAATGTTTAATTAAATTAAAACCCCCACATCCAGCTTGAATCGGGGGGTGGGGACGCTGAACACTTCCATCGCGGGGAAGTTCGGCGCCACATCCAGGTTGGGAACCCTCCGTTCTGAGACTGTTGGAGTCCCAGATTTGAGTTCTGCGTGATGCTAGAGAGATGCCCAGATCGGGTGCGGGTGGGGGCTGAGTTTGCTGCAAGCGCTAGTTGCACGCGAAGGACACAACACAATGGTTTTTTTTGCCCAGAGTGCAGGGGTGTATCAGCACGAAACACAACCCTCCCCTTTTGCAACTGGGTGCGGTTTCTGCCACGCAACGTAGCAGTTTGGTAAACTACCGGCTGCGCGCGCACACACATTTTGACCTCGGAATGGACACAATCTCTCTCACAAAATCCAGTGGTGGGGCTCCTCACCCCAACAATTGATTCGCTTTCAAGATGTGCAGCCAGGCCCCATACCTCAAATTCTGCCATTTGAACTGTGCAATATTATGGGTCTGTTTTTTCAGGAACAAAGTACAACTCTTGTCAGCCAAGTGCATCTTAATAAATTTGTAATTTGTAAATTTTGCGATTAAGAGAATGTGTTTTTATTTAAGTGGAAAAACAAAACAATAGATTCCTCGCTGTTTCATACCCTTTCAAGCATCTCTCTTTAGGCAGGGATTATCACAGGTTTAAATATCGGGTGCACTAGGAAAAGGTAAAGCCATTGCTTATTTAAAGGGACACTGCCAATTTAAAAATCATACTTCTGGTTGAAAATGTTTCCTACTAACTAGAGGTAACATTAAAGATTATTGTAACTAAAAGAGATTAGAGAAAGAAAGTTGATGAATATTCTATTTGCCAGCACATTGGCCCAGATCCTGAAAGGTATTTAGGTGCCTGACTTGCACTGAAATACCTTTGAGTATCTGGGGTCTTGTGCTGAGTCTACTTTCCCTGTTTAGGAAGGCCAAAAAATCAGAAGAGGTTAGTGGCTTTGAATGCCTCATTCTGGGGGTGCCCTCTATGAGAGTTGCGCTTCTCAAACTGCCCCCAAAATCTATGGGAAATGTAATTGATGTTTATTTGTTTCCCCGTTGTTTGTGTGAGTCTTTCATACAACAACAGGGGTGAACAAACAAACATTTTTGAAACCAGAAAAATGTGATTATAAAACCACAGTGATTGATAGGGGTATTGAGGAGCAGGTATAGAGTTTGAGGCTCATTTTAACATATATATTTTAAATAGATTAGAATTCAAGTAGACATGCCCTTCTAAATCCAAGTCACTACTGTCTTTGGTTTGGCCTGGAATCCTCTGTATCCCTTTGCCCCCTCATATGAGATTCTAACTCTTCCCTGTCTCCTGCCCCATGCCCCTCAACCCCACTCAAGTACCTCATCTTGTCTTGCTGCATTCACTAATAAAACATGGTTACAGGTATGCACATGTGGATGACTGGTTGACTGGGTTGGGTGGATTTGCTAGGTAGACATAACTGGTCAGATTTTGGTCTCACACCGGAGTTGTGTATGCTTGAAAATTAACACTGATTAAGATAGGGTGTGAATTTAAAGCACAGTAGCTGTTCCTGAATTACTCCATGTGTGGCCACCATTATTCCACAAGAAAAGTGCTTTCTTCATGTTTAGCATACATAACCCATTTGCAAACAGTAAGTGTCCACATGTGAAGTTAATCAGGAACAAAATGAATCAGGAATGCTGTAATTCTGTGTGTAGAAAAGCCCTGTTACACTGATGTAAAACCAGAGCAACCACTTCTTTGACTTCAGTGGAGTTACTCAGAATAACATTGGTGTAACTGAGATTAGAAATTGTCCCAGCGTTGTCTGAGGATTCCTTTATCTGGTTCTGTGGGGCACAGCCTAACTCCAGTCAGTAGTCCTAAACCTGAAATTGCTACACACATGTTAAAGCCTTTAATGATCTTCACCTTTTTAGGCCTTTTCTCATGCCAGAATCGCATCGCTGGAACTGTTTCTGTTGCTGTTTTGATTTTGGTATTGGTCCTGGTAATTCTCCCGAGTAAGTATTTGTATTGTTTTTTTACCATTTGAAGTACATTTCATCTCACTATCATGCTCTAGGACAGGGGTCGGCAACCTTTCAGAAGTGGTGTGGCAAGTCTTCATTTATTCACTCTAATTTAAGGTTTTGCGTGCCAGTAATACATTTTAATGTTTTTAGAAGGTTTCTTTCTATAAGTCTATAATATATAACTAAACTATAGTTGTATGTAAAGTAAATAAGGTTTTTAAAATGTTTAAGAAGCTTCATTTAAAATTAAATTAAAATGCAGATCTTATCAGTTTAGTGTGATCCTTGCCCTTGCTTTTCCTTGCAGAGTTTTCCAATGTCTGGCACAAATTTGGATACTTTAAGCTGCACACAGGCTTCTGAGTGATCAGTTGTTAACTGGCTCTGAGAGGGACCGACAGATTTCATGTGTGAAAATACCTGTTCACACAGGTATGTGGATCCAAATACTGAAAGCATTGCAAATGCAATTTTCTTCAGACAGATACATTTCACTGGCCAGCAGGTCAAAATAGAGGCCATGATCTTTCTCAGTAGCTTTAAGTGCACTCCGCAGATCTCCAAACTTTGATGCCCACAAATCTGAGCTTTTTAACTGAATGAGCTGCATTTCAAAATCTTCAACACCCATCCACGGAAATGCAGACGAATCCAAGCTGCTTTCGTTGAACTTTTCAGGTTTAATTAGAAAAGAAAGCATTGGGCCAAATCGCTGGAAATCTTGAAATCTGTCAGAAAATTCTGATTCCAGTTCTTACATGTACATTCCAATCTCATCAACACTGACAGTGCAACGTGTCGATAGTTCTTTTATGTGTTGGAAGTAGCGGAAAGTCGAAGTTCGAATATCCCGAGAAAAAACTGCTAGTTTTACGACAAATGCCTTCCAGGTTTCATAAAGATTCAGAACTGTTTGCCCTGTACCCTGGAGATGGAGGTTGAATTCGTTTAGGTGAGTAATGATGACAGTTAGAAACATGAGCTTACACAGCCATTTTTCATCATCCAGTTCAGGGTAGTTTTGTCCTTTTTCTGACAAAAAGGCCTTGATTGCATCAAAACAGTTTACAAAGTGCACCAAAACCTTGCCACGACTTAGCCACCAAATGTTGCTGTGAAGTGGAATGTCATTATAAGCATTGTTCATCTCTTCTAGCAGTGCTCGAAACTGTCTGTGAGTCAAAGCAGATTGAGCAACAAGGACATTCACAATTTGCACCACTGTATTCATCACATTATTAAGCTTAGAAATTTTAGCACACAGGTTTTCTTGATGGATGATACAGTGAAATTTGACAGTCAGGTGGCCAATTTGATCTTCAAGTAACATTACAAATCCCTTCTGTTTTCCGACCATGGCAGGAGCACCATCTGTTGTCACACAAAATATTTTTCTGATGTCAACTCCTCATTCTTAAAAATGGTTTACAAAATTTTCCACTATATCTTCCCCCTTTGTTGTGCCATGCAGGGGTTTTAGACAACAAAGTTCCTCTTGGATTTCATTGGAAGCACAATATCTTGCAACAACTGCCAAACGTGGAACGTTGTTTATATCCATGCTCTCATCAACTGCAATGCTAAAGACTGCTGTGTCTTTTAAAGCAGTTGTCTGCTTTTCGTTAATGTTTTCTGCCATTTCGCTTACACGTCTCTCAACTGTTCTGGCAGAGACAGGCAGTTCTTTTATTCTAGATACGCATCTTTTATTTGGCAAATCGTTGAACAAAACCTCTGAACTGCTGAGAAAAAACTTCTTTTATATATTCCCCATCTGTAAATGGCTTTCCATTTTTTGCAATGCACTGTGCAATCTTGCATCTGACGAAGTGGGTATTCACCCATGAAAGCTTATACTCTAATACATCTGTTAGTCTATAAGGTGCCACAGGACTCTTTGTTGCTTTTTACAGATCCAGACTAACATGGCTACCCCTCTGATACTGTACAATCTTGTAACTTCCTTCTTTGTGGCTTGATTTTTACTTACACTTAAGCATTTAAAAACACTGCTTTGTTTCTCATATCCTGCTACTGCCTTTTTGATCGATTCAGTCTTGTCTGTTTCGTCAAGAAAGGTTTTCTCGTGCTTCGTTTGAAAATGTCTTCGAACACTTGATGTGCGACAACAACACTTTCACAACAGAAAGCACAAACAGCACGGTCCTTCTTTTGAATAAATCCAAATGTGTCTGTCCAAGAAGTGAAGTGAACAGACATCTAACTTTGCTTTCTTAGGAGCTGACATTTTGTCAAATGTACCCCTCAAACGTACAGTGGAAAAAAAAATCATGACAGACGGCGCACACAACGTCAAACACAGTGCGCTGTTCCATGTGACGTGACAGTGATGTAAGCAGCAAATCAGGACTTAAAAATATCCCAGTACAGTGGCGCTGGAACAATTTTTAAGTTGGGGATGCTGAGCTGCGCTCCCTCTGGCCCCTGTCTGCAGCCCTCACTGCCCCAGGCTGGGGCCAGTGGGCCACAGCTGGTGGCAGCTGCAGAGCCCCGGGCTGAGGCCAGGAGCAGCACCCCAGGCCGGCAGCCAGGACCCCAGGATGGCAACAGAGCCTCTGGGATTGGTGGCTGGAGCCTGGGGCCGGCAGCAGATGGACCCCGGGTGGCAGGGGGCCAGCGGTAGGACCCCAAGATGGCAGCAGAGGCTGCGGGACCGGTGGCGGGACCCAGGCAGTGTGAGTGCCACTCAAAATCATTTCACATGCCACCTTTGGCACACGTGCCATAGGTTGCTGACCCCTGCTCTAGGACTTCAGTTGTCAAATGCAATAATACTTGTATTCAACAATACTGGAAATGCTGGGGCCTAAAGCCAGAGTTCCCATTAATGGAGGCAACATTGTACCTTATTATGTCAGGCATCTTTATAGCAATGTGATGCTGCTATTGAGGCAGAATAACTTCAATATAGAATCTTAAAAAAGAATGAAGTCTGCTATTCCAAAACTGTTTAATTCCCACCCCACAAATTAATAAAATCCAGAGGATTTAGCAGTAAAATTGACTTTTTATTCTTAACTCAACCTTTTGTGCCCCTTTCCCATATTCTGTGGGGTCACTTGCTATTTTTCTGTGTTTATTTTTTAGTATCGCTAATTAAACATTTGTTAAGGGTGAAATGCAGCCCTGCGTACCCTTAACAGAGCTGTCAGAATTTTTCTGATGAAAATAAGTTTAGCTTCAGGACATAAGTTTTTTCAAAATTGAAAGAATTTTTCCAGAAAAGGATTCCCCTTTTTCAGCCAGCTCTAGCCCTTAACTCATTGGAGACCAGAAAGAATCCCATTTTCCTACCCCACATCAACCCTCGAGGATTTTTTTCTCCTTTATCAAGTTTTGTTCCTAAAAACATTCACAATACCCCAGAGGGGAGAGAGAACTTGTGCTGAGGGAGTGGGCTGCTAGGAGTAGGTATGGAATGGTCACAGGATGACCTGCCAAGAAGTTGCCATGTAGAATGAGGACAGAGGCTGGTTGGATGTTTAGAGAGGGTAGTGGATGGAGAGACTGAATGGTGACTGAGGATGGGGTTGGGAGTTTGAATATGGGGCACTCTACCCTGGAAGAGGATTTCAGTGGGTTAAAGGAGTATTATACATATTGTCAAACACATTTTGTAACAAGATGTGCATAACTCTAAGTAAACCGTCTGTAGACACAGTTCTATGAGTATGAAAGTACTTACAGCAGTATAGTTTATGCCTGTTCCCCTGCCCAGCATAAGTTATACTGGCATAAGCACTGTCATACTAATATAACTGCATCTACACTAAGGCTTTTACTGGCATAGCTATATTGGTAAAAAGCATACCTCTAGCTGATGTATCTATGCTGGTAAAATTTTAAGTGTACATGACCTTATTGTCTGTAACCCTCTGTCACGGAGTCACTGAGCCAGTGCTCTGGAACTATTCCATATGAGGCCAGTCAGGACTCTGGGGTAGCATGCCTCCTCTCTCTGAGCATACTGTCGCCAGGGCAAGATGCTTACACATCTTCAACCTTCCTGGATCTGACCTCGAAGCATTCAGCATCCCCTTCCACACCGTGCGCTTCCCGCCGCGAGTCTGCCCAGGCAAGGCTCCTGGGGAAGCCAGAGGGCCCTGTACCCCAACTCCTGAGTCAGCAATGACTCTAAGCCAGCATGTAGAACAGAATGGTTTATTAGTTGACAGGAACACAGCATAGAACAGAGCTTGCTAGCACAGAAATCAGTGACTTCCAGCCAAGTCCACCTTGGGGACTCCCCCTCTTCCAGTCCCCCCAAGCAGACTGCCCAGCTTCCAGCAAGCCGACATCAGACACCCCTATCCTCCTCCTGGTCTTTGTCTCACTTCCCAGGCAAAGTGTCACCTGGTCGTCACCTGGTCGTCACCTGGTTTCATCCCCGTCCTGGGTCTCAGGTTACGAAGGGCACTGGCCATCGCCTACATGTAGGCAGCTGGAGCAGCCTAACCTGCCCTCCGAGGGTCTCAGCCAAAGTCACACAGCCTTATTCCCACCACCTAGGCATTGGTGCAGCACACAGGGAAACTGAGGCACACACAGTATTCATGCAAAACAGTAAAACTCACATAGGCTCATCAGTAAGACTCACATAGGCTCACATACAACATGACAAGGGAAAATCCCCACTTCGTCACACCCTCCTCTGGCCATCCTCCAATTTTCCCATCTATTGTTGTAGCTCTTTTTTCATGGCTGCCATTAGTTTATAAGCTTTTGGGGTCAGTAATACATCTGTCTACATGTCAGTACAGTGCTGTGAGACATTTTGGGAGTTACTCTGATATAAATAATAATTCACCATGGGGTGAAATTCACCCTGGTGAGGATCCCTTCTGCAAAACTCCTGACACCATTTATGCCCCCAATGCGGTTGTGAAGATGGAAACAGATTCTATATTCTCTGGGCATTGCAGAAAGGGATTTCACACCAGTCCAACATAGACCAATGTAGAAGGTGGTGTTGGGGGCAGGCTGGGAGAATGGCTACACGACTGATGATTATGCAGCTCCAATGATCTTAACACCCCACAAAAATGGTGAGGAGAAGCTAGAGCAGCAGGAGGTTGTGGCCACAGGGACTGGGATATAGATTCACTCCCCACAAACTCCTCCTCCTCTCCACAGCACTTCACATGTATAAAGCCCAATTATTTTTACTTGAGGTGAGTGAAGTGGCCCAAAGAAGATAAGAGCTTGTTACTGCTATCAGCTAAAGTATAGCTCAAGTGTAGAGAACTTTTGGTGCCTTGGGGATGAAGGTGCTCATGACCTAGGATGTGCATTGGTACACATGGAGGGTGAGACCGTCACTGAGATCCTGGACATGTCACTGAGGGCACACTCTGCATGGTGTTGAGCTCCTTCAAGTACCATTGGCCTCAGCAGAAGCCAGTGGGAGTTCTGGATGCAGAAGGGCTTGCAGGATGAGGTGCATTATTATTCTTTATTTAGTTTGTTTTTTCCTCTGACATTCACTGTGAATCTTGTCTTCAGAAGGGCTAAACTTGGCTGGGTTAGGCTGCCCCAGAGAACCTGAACTGGGAGATTTTATCCGAAAGAAATATGACACATTCTTTTTCCTTTTTAGTTGCATGGCATCTCTTCAATAAAGAACCTCCCATCTCCCTGCCCTCTGAACCATGCCCTGAGGACTGGCTGTACTTCAAAAGGAAATGTTATTTTCTCTCAGAGGAGGAGAAGGACTGGGACTCCAGTCAGAGCTTCTGTTCCCTTTATGAAGCTTCACTAGCTGTGATTGAAAACCACCAAGAAATGGTAAGGGAATAAAAACAAAGTTCATTTAGTCTCTTTCCTTAGCTCCTGTAATGTCCCCATTTTCTCATTCAACATTTGTCCTTTTAAGTCTTTGTAAAATAAAAAATTATGTGAAACAGATAGTGAAAGGTGCCAGATTGTCAGTCCAGGAAACCAAGGGCCTTTATTTAGCCCCAGCAGAGGCAGCAGCAATGCACACATTGCCCTGATGGCTGGATTTGAACTGGCAAATTAGAGGTGAAATTATTAATCCCCTGACCCTTCCTGTCCCTTCCTCCCTCCAGTGCATGTCCAAGCTCACAGTACACAGAGATGAATGGATCTGTGGTAAAGAAATCAGATCCTGTAAAACACAGTCCAGTGAAATGGAGATCACGTTTGCAGTATCATCTACTTGCAAAACTGATGTTGTCCTTTAAATATGGGGGGGGGGAAGCACCCCCCAGAAAAGCTTTGGCCTGTACAAACAACATCTGTCATGAGTCATATTAATTTTATTTCTTGGGAATGATGAATTATAGATTAGACAATGGCTTCCCACCTAGAAGACAGTCAGAGTCCATGTAGGTGAAAAACTCCTTGTCTTTAAGGCTGCAGAATTCCTCCAGATTTAAGCATGGTTGAGGGAAGACAGACTGCCTCTCCATGTAGTAAGTGGGAGATGTGACTTTCCAACATCATAGAGGTCCCAATGAGGAAAATGACGAAAACCTGGAGATCTGAGACCATTCTGAGAAGGCCAGGCACCAGGATGGAGGTCACTGCATCCTCACAACTTCCTGGCCCCACAACCTTGGGCCTCAGGGGCTTAGCTGTCATGGTTTCTCTAGATACACCTAGGTCAACCATCTTACTGAAGAAGTTTGATATCAGGGAGTGGGAGTCCATCTTATTGATATAGCCAGTAGGGAAATCAAAATGAGTTTGAAGGGGGACAGTGCTGTGAAGGACAGTTCTTCAATATCCTTTCCACACCTAGTCATCTCCCTAAAACCATGTAACTCCATAGGAACGGTATTTCTGTGGATGGGCTTTCATGGTGTCAGACAGATGAGTGATGATGCCTCATTAGTTTAACCCACCTCCTTCTAACAGAATTTTGGCAAGAGGAGTGGTGGTTTTTGCTCCTCTGTCAATATATTTATATCATGGCCATACCTGTGGTATCTGACAACCTTAAAAGAATGTAAGACAGCCATCAGAATCTTAAAACAATGGGCCCAATTCATACCTTGCGTTGCAGGCATTAGTGGGAGAAAATTTCCTCAGATTAAAGGAGGTGCTTTGGCAGAGCTGTGGGTATGGACTACAAATCAGGAGAGTACTCTAGTTGTGGTTTCTGTTCTTTACCACTCCAGTCTCTAAATTCTGTAAGTTTTTGTTTCTCTCCGCCTATCTCTCCCTCTTCCCTCTGGAAAGCAGTGAATTATGTGGAATGATTACACTGCTGTTTCTTGTGGTTCCTTGCCTCCTGGTATCATCTGTTCTCCTTGATACACACTTAGGTCAAAGTGTTAAACATGGGTTCTTAAAATTAGGCAACTAATTCCATATCCCACTGGGAGCAGTGGATCTTCAGGTCACTTATTTTTAAATGCCTAAATATGGATGTAGTTGCCTAATTTTAAATAACCCAGATTTGAACATTTTGGTTTTCATCCCTATTTGAGACTGTAACAATGCTGGTTCTGGCGGGACCCAACTGAGAGTGCCAAGTCAGGACAAATTGCTTAAACAGGGCAGTTACAGCCCAAGGCTGGGGTTTTTCCACCTCTAAGGCAAACCAAACCAGCCAGACAAAGAGGACTTTGGTCTCACCCCACTGGCTAACCACAAATCACACAAGCAATTCCCTTAGACACTCCAGTTTCCCAGTATCACCACCAGTGCCACTCATTATGGGGACAAATGGTTATGAAAACCAATACCCCAGTAAAAGAAAAAAAAGGTTCTCTCGATCCCGAAGGACCAAGCCCCAGACCCAGGTCAATATACAAATCAGATCTTACCCACAAATCACGCTGTTGCCAATCCTTTAGAATCTAAAATCTAAAGGTTTATTCATAAAAGGAAAAAATACAGATGAGAGCTAGAATTGGTTAAATGGAATCAATTACATATAGTAATGGCAAAGTTCTTGGTTCAGGCTTATAGCAATGATAGAATAAACTGCAGGTTCAAATCAAGTCTTTGGAGTACATCCCCAGCTGGGATGGGTCATCAGTCCTTTGTGAAGAGCTTCCATTTGTAGCAAAGTCCCTCCAGAGGTAAGAAGCAGGATTGAAGACAAGATGGAGATGAGGCATCAGCCTTTTATAGTCTTTTCCAGGTGTAAGAACACCTCTTTGTTCTTACTGTGGAAAATCACAGCAAAATGAAGTCTGGAGTCACATGGGCAAATTCCTGCATACTTTGCTGAGTTACAAGACATATCTACCTTCTCTCAATGGGTCAGTTGTATAGCTGATGGTCCTTAATGGGCCATCAAGCAGGCTAGGCAGAGCTAACACCAACTTGTCTGGGATGTCTCCCAGAAGCACAGCATAAATTTGAAATACAGACAGTGTAGAGCCAATATTCATAACTTCAACTACAAAATTGATACACACATATAGAGAGCATAATCATAACCAGCAAACCATAACCTTGTCTTAGACACCTCATTTGACCCCCTTTATACAAGATTTGGTGCCACTACAGGACTTTGGTTGCAACCATGTTCTATACGGTCCCAGGTCAAGTCAATAACGTGACAGAGACACACACCAACTATGCTAAGGTGAGACTAGATCCCTTGACTGTGTCAGTGATGTAGATCTGGATTGATCTGCTTTGGCCTTCCTTGGATTCTAACTCACTGTTTTGTCATTTGCACTGACATATCTTCATTCCTTCCTGTTGTTGTCCAACCACACTGGGTTAATCAACACCGGTGACATTGCTGCATTATTACTTATTATTAGATGAGAACTTGAACCTGTGTATTCTGAGTAATAAACTGAACAGGTAATATACTGTACTCTTATGGAAAGTTTGGTTTCTGATAGACTGATATTTGAACTTTCTTTCCTGCTTTAATCACTGAATATGGTCAGAATGCCAGAGTGTTATCTGATTTACTGGCTGGTACACATTTTATTGGTGATAACAGATAGTGACATGGAAATAATTCAGTCCTGAAGTCAATTTACACTAACTTACATCAAGATTGAATTTAGTCCATGCATTTTAATCTGATTTTATTTATTTGTATTGGAAAGAAATTCAGCAGTAACAATGCCCTGTACCCCTGGGGGAATGGAGAGATCTTCCAGGGGGTATATCAACTCATCTAGATATTTGCCTAGTTTTACAAGAGGCTACATAAAAAGCACTAGCGAAGTCAGTACAAACAAAAATTTCATCTAGACAAAATGAGAAAGTAAGCAATTTTTCAGTACTAGTGTGCTGTGACACCTTTGTATTTTTATGTCTGATATTGTAAGCAAGTAGTTTTTATGTGAGGTGAAACTTGGGATACGCAAGACAAATCAGACTCCTGAAAGGGGTATAGTTGTCTGGAAAGGTTGAGAAGCACTGCTCTATACCTATAAACTGTGATCACAGCTAGTCTATAATAAAACATATGAACATAGTAATTGCTATACTGGGTAGTGATCCATCTCATCCATTATCAGGGCTGGCTCCAGGTTTTCTGCCACCCCAAGCAGCCCAAAAAAAAAAAAAAAGGCCCATCGGTGGCACTTTGGCGGCAGCTCAATCGCACAACTCCATTCTTCGGTGGCAGTTCGGCAGCGGGTCCTTCATGCCCTCTCTTCCTCTTCGGCGGCACTTCGGCAGCAGCTCAAAGAGAGAGAGGGAATGAGGGACCTGCTGCCGAATTTCCGCCGAAGACACGGACAGGCCGCCCTAATAGCGGACGGAGTGCCGCCCCAAGCACCTGCTTCCTTAGCTGATGCCTGAAGCCGGCCCTGTCCATTAGACTAGCTGCATCAGAAGAAAGTGTAAGAAACCCTGTAGAAGGCAGTTACAGAAAGGTATCTATAGTGAAAGTTTCTTCTTTATACCATTAGTTGGTCATTGGCTTTTGGTTAGAAGCATGAGAATTTATATCTGTCAAAGTTCAGAGTAACTGCACCTGTATTTCCCTTCAGCAAGGGCACCCACTCTGGGCTTCCAGCTCCCCAGCTGTTGCCTTCCTTAGTGGAGACCTGTGTCTCACTCCCTTCTGACTGGGGTATTCCCAGGCTGCACAGTTCTCTGCCTTCACTGTGTATTTCCCAGCAAAGACAGTCTGTCTAACCAGACCTGCTTGCTTTCTCTTCAGAGACTGATAAAGTGTTTACTATAGATACAAGTTACCACACAGCTCTTTCTAAGCAAGCCAACTTTACTCTTAAGGTAAAAAGCACTACAGAGAGAACATTAAAAACAGTGAAAGAACCTACATGCATGCTAATAAGCTTACCAGGCATCACCCCACTCTAGAGGTTTCTTTGTGGTTACAAGCTCATCAAAACTTCAGGTCAGAACAAGCACACAATCTTATGAGGTCTCAGTAGGTCAAGTCCTTCCAGTCCTCCCCTAAGGATTGGGGCCCTCCGTGGACCAGGGCTCCTGTCCATTTGCTGGATCAGATATGAAGCCCCGAATCAGATTAAACCCAGGCTTTTACCCAAAAGTCTTTTCTTTGTCTGTTGCTCCCTGGAAAATCCAGTTGGAACTAATATATGTGTATCTCCCTGGGGGGCCTCAAAGGTTGATGAAGGAAGAAGTTTATTAGCATCCCCGTCCTATTAGAGAAGATACATACAATGCCCCAACAACACATACACAGTTGCATTTTTAATATATTGTACACCAGAAGTATTAAGCTTAGTTCAATAAGGTCTAACTTAATTCAATAAACTTTATTTATTCCATAAGGTTTGTTCAGGATATTACAGGATATTGTCAGTCTGTCACAATATACTTTCCAAAACCTTTAAATAAACCCCCATACAGTCATAACCCTGAATATTCCTGCTATCTATATAAATAGCTAATGATTTACTGAATCCTGCTCAACACTTGACCTCAGTGATAACTTGTGGCAATGAGTTCCACATGCTAACATGCTCAGATTTCTGTTATCTCGTCCTCCCTTTCCTGCTACCTTCCACTCCTCTTTGTTTGTTTCACTCAGGTTAGGTTAGATTACACTGTGACAAACTAAGATTGTAACTCTTCAAGATAGCTGTAAGTGCAGAATCAGGCCCATTGCTTTCTGTGCAATAACAACAATAACTCCTTGATAGAATGACTAATCATACCTCCTGAGTGGGTACAGAAAAGTTCCCAGTGGGGAAATTCAAGTTAATATAAACGTTGTCTTGTTTAGCATTTCCTCACTAAGCGTATGCACATGCAAGACTCTTGGATTGGACTGCGCAAGCGAGAAGAAGGCTTCTACTGGGTCAATGGCATTCCTCTTACAACAGACCTGTAAGTTCCTTCTGTGTTTCTAATATATTGGTGCTGATCAAAAATAAGGGAAGTAATTAAACAAATGCAGAGTTAGGGCTTTTCTACACATGACTTTTATACAAAAACAGTAAGTTTCAGTGATTATGGTGTAGAGAAAAGCTTGAAAATATGAGCCCTAAACATTCCAACTCCAGATGACAAATAAAAAGAACACAAAACGCATTACTTTTAAAAATCTCATGATTTTTGAACGCATAGAGTTGGCAATAGACTCTCCTGACAGTGAAACAGTTCCAAACTGCTCTGCTTTTTTCCTAGTACAAAAAGCACTCTTACAGAAAATGAACCAGGGAAATCCATAAAGATAAACAGGGTCTGTTAAGCCTGCAGAGAACAAAGAAATGCTGCAAAAATGCAGAATGTGTTAATACTAGACACAGGAGACTAGGAAGAGCTTTCATAAATATTCCTGGATAGAAAATATATTAAACGTATCAGTAAGTTAGAAGTAAAACATTACAGGGGTATTGTAATTATCCCAAAGATAAGCATTATGAACTCAGGAAACTGAGTTCAACATAAAACAAATCTAAACATTTTATGTATTGAAATGCACAGTTAAGGCACCCAAACAACTTTAACTCTGCCTGTAGCTATGCCATGCAATAACCAAGCATGATTAGTGCATAATAATGTTTGGGATTAGATGAAGCTGATTTCTAAAGATATATTAGGTTTTTCATGTTTCCTATGTTATCACTACAGGGCAGAGTTAGATTGTTTGTCTGGCTTACCTGGGTATTCCCCACATCTTAACATGTTTGGATGTTTTGGAATTTTTGTTTAGGAATTTCCTTTTTTGAAAAACCAAACAATCGTGTACCCAAACACTAAATAATAAGCCCCAAAATAATATTACCATCTGATATTTGTATCTTAAATAATTTTATTTTTAACTAGGGCGGTCAAACGATTAAAAAGATTAATCGTGATTAATCGCGAGATTAAAAAATAGTCATGATTAATCACAGTTTTAATCACATGGTTAAACAATAATAGAATACCATTTATTTAAATATTTTTGGATGTTTTCTACATTTTCAAATATATTGATTCTTCTTCGAGTCCTTGCTCATGTCCCTTCCAATGTAGGTGTACGTGCACTGCATGCACCGTCGCCGAAAGGTTTTTCCTCTCAGTGGTATCCATTGGGTCAGCTCCGGTGCCCACTGGAGTTGCGCCCTCTTGGCGCTGTATATAGGAGCCTGCAGACCCACCATCCCCTCAGTTCCTGCTTTCTGCCTGTGATGGTCGCTCTGCAGGTACTCTCCCCAATGGACTTACTTGTACATTTTCCTGTAAATAGTTATATAAAAGTTTGTAGTTGTTAGCATAGAGTAGGACCCTGCTCCATGGGTTCTTTCCCGCCCCAGCACCGGGGCATGCCTCGGTCTCCGGGGTTTAAGCTATGCATGGCTTGCCACAAGCCTATGCCTATCAGTGATCCCCACTCCATTTTCCTCAAGTGTTTGGGTGAATCCCAGCTGCGTGATCGCTGCAAAATTGATGTCGGCTTTAAGCCCGGGACTCAAAAGGAAGGGAACAAAGACTTAAGTTCCTCCTGATGGAGGCGGCTCTTCATCCCTTGGAGCCGGGTCACCCTGACTTGGCATCGAGCACCTTTGCCTCTGTGAGGAGTGCATTGGCTTCTGTGAGGGACAAGCACCGCAGCCCGATCTCTCTGGCACCGAGAAAGGACTCCTCATCAGCATCGCATGACTCCCGGCATTGGCACAGTTTGCCGGTACAGAGGAGGTTGGTGCAGGAGAGTATATGGCACTGCTCCTGTTCCCCGGTACCATACAAGAAGCAGTGCAAAACTGACAGGGGGCACTCCCCGACCCCAAGGCCCACCGGTCATAAGGACTCTGGCAGAGTGAGACCTGCACAGTGCCACTTGGGCTCAACGGCTGCTACTGTGGCACCGTTGACTCCAACCCCAGGGAGGGAGCTGTCGAGTCCGGTGCCACTGGACTCTCCCCCAAGGGAAAGCCATAGGAGTGCAGGGTTGGCACTCCCGTCCACGGCTGAGGAGTTCCAGGCAGCACGGGACCTGATGTCCCTCCCAGTACCGTCATCACCAACTAGACACAAGCCGGCACTGGAAGCAAGGACAGTTTCGGTACCGAGCCCCCAGGTGTTGTCAAAAGGAAAACCGGCAATGATGCAACAGCCCATCCCGGGACCGCTTGCTGGTACCATCTAGCACCCCCCCTCCCCCGTGGTCTCTGGGCAGTGAATCCTCGGCATCGGACTCAGAGCCAGAGTCCTATACCTCATGAAGGAGCCGTCACCGGTCAGGCCAACTGTACTGGATAAAGGACATGACTCAGGGATTCCCACCAATGGGCTGGCCAGCACAATGGCAGATGCTGGTGCAATGGCCATGTTGGACTCCTTGGGCTTTTCAGGTCCAAGAACCTCAGTCGAGGAGGTCATATTCAATGGCATCAGAAAGTAGAGCCCCACCGCCACCTCCTCCTCTAGTGGTACAGGGACATGACCAAGGCACCAAGCCCAGTACCGTGCCTCAGGGACTGGCACCACGGCACCCGTCAGGAGCTCACAGGCAAGAGCAAGACTGGTTCTAGGATCCTCTTCCTCCTCACCGGAGGAGGCGGTTGCAGGAACCTCAGTGGTGCCCAGACAAGATGACCACAAGTTGCACCAAGAGCTGCTAAAAAGGGTCACCCAAAACCCGGGCATCAAGGTGGAGGAAGTTTCAGAGACCTCCCATGCTCTGGTGGATATCTTGGCATCATTGGGTCAATCAAGGGTAGCTCTGCCCCTCAATAGTGCCATTTTAGAACTGGTCAAGGCACTGTGGCAGACTCCAGCTTCATTGCAACCTATGGCAAAGAAGGTGGAGAGAAAATACTTCATCCCACCAAAAAGGTTTGAATATCTTTATATCCATCCACCTCCTGGGTCCCTAGTAGTCTCAGCAGCAAATGAGCGAGAAAGGCAAGAGAAACAGGGTTGTACCCTGAAGGCTAAGGATGCCAAAAAGCTGGACCTTTTTGTCAGAAAGATCTATGCCACGGGGGGCTCCAGCTTTATGTTGCAAATCAGCAGGTGCTCCGTAGTCAGTGTTATTTTAATACCTGGGGAGCAATGACAAAATGTAATGAGTTATTGCCCCAGGAGTCCAGAGCAGAGTTCTCGGCTTTGGTCGAGGAGGGCAGGGCGGTGGCAAAGGCATCCCTGCAGGTGGCTCTGGATGTAGCCGACTCAGCTGTGCAGACCATGGTGTCAGCGGTGGCTATGAGAAGGTCTTCTTGGTTGCAGACCTCTGGCCTCCCTCACGAGGGGCAGCAGATAATCCAAGACCTGACTTTTGAAGGCACTGCACAGTTTTCTGAGCAAACGGATGCCAAGCTGCACAGCTTGAAGGACTCCAGGGCCACGCTGAAGTCTTTAGGACTGTACACCCTGGACCCATTGACAAAACATTTCAATCCACCGCCATTGCCTCAGTTCTACCAGTCACAACTGAGACAGGACTATAGTAGAAGGCAGGGCAGGAATTACAAGAGGAGACCTCCTTCCAACCCTCTTCGACCCAGGGATCTGGGCTCACCAGGTAGTCATCTGGCACCAAGCAGGCGCTTTGAGGGTGTGCCCGTGGACGGCATACCAGAACTATATCTGGATCCATCCTCCCCTATTTTGTGGACTGGCTATCTCACTTCTATTGGGCATGGGCCCATATCACCTCAGATCGCTGGGTGCTATGCACGATAAGACTGCGATACACTCTGGAATTAGTTCTTCCCCTCCCTCCTGCCCTCTCTCCTCATCCCTTTTCAGGGAACCTTTGTGACGCTACACCCCATATTCTTCACAGAAATATTGTTATAATATGAATATGGCATAACTAAGATGTATTTTATGGAAGATGGGTGATGTGAGATATAATTGGAAAAGTTATGATTTATTGAACATGATTATCCTATTTGTATGCATGTACCATTTTTGTATGTAAAATTAAGACTATGAACTATGTAACAATTACAGCTGTGTTTGCACCTGGAGAACACCCACCAGACAGAATGCAATCAGCCTGGATGGGCCATTAAGGAGAACAATAGGTCTTTGAATATACTAATTTCCCTCCTTCCTGAGAAGTTTCTTGGGATGCTGATTTGGACACTGCAGGGTCAGGTGATTATGTCACCTGGTACTGGACACCATCTTGAACTGCTGGTATTTTTCCACTAGAAGGGGGTGGGGATCAAACTGGGAAACAAAGGATTCCTGCCATATGTAAATCCTATTTAAAGCTTGGGAGTGAGTTAATCGGGGTCAGTTCTTCATGGACTCCCCGCTGAAGATGACTGCTGGAAACACCTAAGACTGAACTTGGAAAAGAACTGGACCTAGGCTGGAAGGTGTCTAGCCTGTGAAAGGAATACCTGGAGATTTAAGCTGCAAGCAGTGCCGTTTACCTTCAAGAAACTCTGCAATCTGCTTAAAACAATATTTAGGGTCAGAAATTATTTGTAGCCAGTATTCTTTAGTATATTGAGCTTAGTTTATTTCACAGACTGGACGCCTTCCTAGTCTGGGCACAATCCTTTCCCCTGGTTCAGCCCTTGTTCCAGCTCAGGTGGTAGCTAGGGGATTTCTCATGATGGCTGCTCCCTTTTTTCTGTTCCACCCATTTATATATCTTTTGCATAAGGCGGGAATCCTTTGTCCCTCTCTGGGTTCCCACCCCTGCTTCTCAATGGAAAAGCACCAGGTTAAAGATGGATTCCAGTTCAGGTGACATGATCACATGTCACTGTAAGACTTCATTACCCACTTGCCAGCACACACGTATACAGGGAGACTTACAAGTAAACAGAGCCATCTGCAGACAACTGTCCTTGTTAATGGGGGTCGTCAAGTTTCCAAACCACCATTAATGGCCCACACTTTGCATAAGTACAATAGGCCCTCAGAGTTATATTTCATATTTCTAGTTTCAGATACAAGAGTGGTACATTTATACAAATAGGATGACCACACTCAGTAGATTATAAACTTTGTAATGATACCATGGTGGAGGCAGTATATCTAAAATTTGTTTTTGGGCTCCCCTCTGGGGAAGACACTCCTGTGGCCCCCTGATTCAGCTGTAGGCTCACAGCTACCAGCTATGACAGACCTTTCACTGGCCAGCAAAATCCTCTCCCTTTCACTCAGGTTGGGCTTGCTTCCAGCTACAGAGTCCTTTGGGTCTGTTCCCACCGCAGCAGTCACCAGGACCCCAACTTCCAGCTCCAGGATACATGTCTCTGTGTACCTCTTCCACTTCATTACAGCCAGTTCATGCTTCTGGGTCTCAATTTGCTTTGTCTTTTATGTCCAGGGTTTGCTGGTGGGCAGCCTTTTCTTTTTCCAGAGCAGCCTTTTCCTGGGCAAATTGCACATCAATTTCCATTTGTCTTTCCTTTAGACTGTCACTCGATGAGCTGGGATACCACAGAGAACCCTCTCCTGCCAGAATAGGCACCCCTCCATTCCTGTCTTGCTAAGTTAGACACTCCAGTCAGCTTCAGCACAGACACAGAGGTTGGGCCACACCCATCTGCAGTTCACTGAAACTGAGATGCACTCAGCTCAAGGGCTTCTTAGTTAACAGAGACTTTCCCAGTGCCCAGTGTTCAGCCTTTCTGGGCAATTTGCAACTTGTGTAGTTATAGCTTCTTCTGATCTTCACTCTTACTTATTTTGCTGCCTTTTCTGTCCCTACTTCCTTTACCCGAAATAAGCAAACAGAAAATAACAAACCAGTAACCACTTTGTCTGTTCTCCAGCCACCACACTTAAAATTCACTTAAAATCACTACCAGTACCACAAAGCAATCAGCTGTGCACAGAGCCTGCCGACTACGCCACTGTGACAGGTTGGATCACAGAAACCCCCTTGGGAGCTGCCACCTGATGTGCCAAAACAACTTTTGCCCCTGCTTTTCTGCCCTGGCAGCTTAGGACTCCAGCACCCTGTCTTGTTGAGCCAGATATGCCAGTCTACTCCAACACAGACCCAGGGTCTGAATCATGTGCCCCAAAGCTACCTCCCTCCCCGCCCAGCTGCTGCTGAGTCCCATCTACAGAGGTGTGCAAGTGAAGCTCGTTAAAAAAATAACGTTAATTTGTTTTGAGTTAATCACATGCATTAATTGTGAGTAATTGAAAGCTCTAATAATAATTCTACATTTGTAAGTTGCACTTTAATGATAAAGAGATTGCACTACAGTACTTGTATGAACTGAATTGAAAAATACTATTTCTTTTGTTTTTCTTTTTTACGGTGCAAATATTTGTAATAAAAATAATATTAACTGAGCACTGCACACTTTGCATTCTGTGTTGTAATTGAAATCAATATATTTGAAAATGTAGAAAAACATCCAAAAATATTTATTATAAATTTAAGTTGGTATTCTATTATTGGTTAACTGTGCTATTAAAACTGTGATTAATTGTGACTATTTTTTTTAATCTAGATCATTTGTTTTGCATTAATTGCTTGAGTTAACTGGGATTAATTGACAACCCTATTTTTAACTTTTATGATTAGAGTCACCAATTCTAGCTGCTTTCTACCACTCTGATGCTATGTAAACCAGCCAGAATATAGTGGCCAGTTTCCCCCAATTCCACATGTCTCCCCCCATTCACCCATGCACACACCAATTCCTCTCCCCAGGGGCGTGCACAAGGGGGGGGGGCAAGCAGGTACACGGCACTCCTCCCAGTAATTGGCAGGGACACAGAACTCCTCCGGCCCTGGGGTCATGGGGGGAACTTGCAGCTCCTCTGATCCCAGGGCCGTGGCTGGGAGAGTGAGCTCCTTTGACCGGGAGTCACGGGGAGGGGGCACAGAACATGCCCCTTCAAAAGTGGTGGAGCTTAAATTCCTATACATGCCCCTACCTCTCCCCATTTCTGTCTCCAACATTTCCCTTCAATTTTCCTTTCCCTGCGCACACACACACACACACACACACACACACACACACACACACGCATGCATGTACCTGCGCATGCGCACACTGATTTCCTCCTCTGTCCTGTTCCCAAATGTCCTTACACTCCACTGCCAAATGTCCTGCTCCTGTCCTCCCTGTTGAGTAGATCTGGTACAACAGTAATTTTTAAAAATAAGTGCTTAGTATTATAACTGCCCTCTTTCAAAATAGCCACATAAAGCCACCGTCTTCCTGAGGACAGTTTGGCTTCACACCACTTGGGAACAATGGAAGATGGTATCTGTCAAGGCTGATTCCCCACTCTGGCACTTCAAATGCAGAAAGTGGGGGCCTGCAAGGATTCTAAAAAATAATACTGGCCACTCCCAGCTTGTATTAAACTCCCAAGGTTACAGCTTCTCTCTGACCTTGGCTTGGTAAATGCTGCTACCACCCAAATGCAAAAAACCCCCTTTAAACCCAGGAAGGAGCACTTGGGAATTCCTCCCTGTGGGGTACCCTCAAGCCCCTTCACCACCACCACCCCCGGTCCGTGGAAGAGCTGAGAAAGAAAACAAAGGAAATTAGCTGTGGCTATCAGCTAATCAACCCACATGCACAAACCTCTTATGACACCAAAAATCAAATTCTGTTCTTAAAAAAGAAAAAATTTATTAAAAACAAAAAGGAAGAAAATACATCTGGACTTTAGGCTTTTGCTAGATTTTAAAAGAGCAATTCCAAAAATTAAGCACCCAAAATAGCTTTCTTGGGGTTTCAGTTTAAAGGTTACAAGCAAACAAAAGCATCTGGGGTTAGTACAGAGAAGTCCACAAGCCTTAAAAAATAAACAGAAATAAACCTAACCGCGTCTTTCTAAACATTCCTAATTTATTTACATATTGGGGGGTTTCAAATAAGTAATTCTAGGTATAATCTGATGATTTCTAATACCTGGCTTAAAGCTGCTTATAGCATAGTCATAGCCCTGACTTTGCTCTGTCCCCCCTCTCCGGAGAACAACCACAGATACAAAGGGAAAGCTTCCTTCCCAATTTTAAAAAGTCTTAGCCTTCCCATTGGCTCTTTTGGTCAGCTGCCCTTTTCTTTACCTGGGGGACATTTTTAACCCTTTACAGGTAAAGCAAGTAGAGGACAGCTACCAAGAGGGATTTTAAAGCTAACTGGCTGGCTGGGTGTCCAGAAAGGAGAGCTACCCCCACACCCTTCATTTATCACAGTAGCCATTTTGAGAGAGGGCATTTTTGTGAATGGCATCCCTTTAGCTTCATTATCATTGAGAACATAGGAGATAGCAGCCATTTTGAAAGAGTTCCATGATGGAGAACAGTATTTGTCAGCTTCTGCTAAAGGAGAAACATCTGAGACAGGTATGAAGAATAACAGGAAAAATGGCCGTTGATCCTAAAACTAGTTCTCAAAATGTAGCAAATGCACAATCCATGAGTTTTAACTATATGGGACAATTTAAGGGTTTGTGTTATTCCATTATTAAGATCATTTGGGACATAAAAATGGTCTGACACAGGGTGCTAAATTTTAATTTTAAAAATTATTTTTAACTCATAAACCAAGTAACAAATTTAGTTGTGAATTCTCAGGAAATTCCTTCTGTACTCAGAGTAAGTGCTGTAATTTTAGGGTAGATATCCTGTATTCTTCATGTCTTACCATTGCTTTACAGTGGAAAACTCAACTCAGCCTTAATTATAGAATTGTGAGCAGCACTTTCATAATAATATACCAAAGGAAAACTCAGTAAAAAAAACAACAGCCTTTAAAGTAGGAGACAGGCTGAATCTATCATGATTCCAACATAGTTATAATGGACTGTCTTTTTTTTTTTAACAAGAAAAATAAAGAAAAAGGTCATGGAAAATTGAAGCTCTTTTAACTAAAACTGGTAGAAGGCAGGAATGAAATACTAAGAAAATGTGATTATCTGTACATTAGTTGCCACTCATTGAGCTGTAAGTGAATCCCTGAACCACAGAGATTCAAGCAGGTATCTGATAAAATAAAAATAAAAGCCAATTTGGTAAGAGTATTTAAAAAGGAAAGTACGGTGATCGTGGCAATTACTGTCCTTTAAATCTGCCTTCACTCCAAAATGGAGCAAACCTTAAGAGAAAATATGTTTTCACTTAGAGGCTAATGGAACTAGTCGATGAACAATGAAGTGTCAGGTTTATAAAGAATAAATCATGTTAAGTATATACTGTATCTGGAATTTAGTAAAACATTTGATGCCATTGCAAAATCTTAATTGGAAAGTTTAATTCAATCTGAAATGGATGCAAGTAGTCACATGAATTGAAACTAGCTTGAGTAGAAGTTTTGCCTCATAGAAGACTGCAGGATTTGAATGTCATGCTGGAAATTATTTAGCGATGACTGTTTTGTCATGTATTCTTCAGGTTTCACATACAGGATCATGAAGAATGTGCCTACACAGATTCATCTAGTATCTCTACATCAGCATGTTCTTTACCCAGGCACTGGATTTGCAGCCGCCATCCCTCCAAGTGAACAGTTCAAGGGGATCTTTAACAACCAAAAGTGGGCCAGAGTTTTACCGTCACTTCAAAAAGATGGCACGTCTAGCCCCACAGCACCAGGGGTGAAAGTAACATAAAACTCTTACTGGTATAGGGGCCCGGCTCCAGGCACCCAGAAGGGGCATGGACTCAGGCAGAAGGGGCGGGGCTGGGGCTCAGCCTCCCCCAGTCAGCCTTTCCACGCTGCCTGGCCTGTGCCGCCCAGGACTCCAGCGGCGGCTTAAAGGGCCCGGGGCTCTGGCCGCTGCTGGCCTCGAGTCATCTGCCCCTTTTGCCCCCCTCTCGGCGGCCCTGGGGGGGCAAAAGGGGCAGTGACGTTACAGCAAGAAGTTTTGTATCATCTGCCAAATTTTCCACCTCAAACTTGTTTTGGGGCTGTCAAGTGATTAAGGGCAGTCAAAGGTTTCCTAGCCATACGGAGCCAGGAGCTGGGTGTGCTGTTTATACACTGTGAAGGACATAAATCCACACCGTGAAGAGGTCAAGCATAGGAGTTTATTACACACAGCGCTGGCAGAGTGTCACCTGGCTTATTAGGCTCAGGGACACTGTCAATCAATTGATTTTCCATGGGCGGGGGAAAGTGACAGGGTAGGCAGTTCCACACCCCGGGATAGGTTTTGCAGCAAGACAAGATAGCACAGTAGCCAATGGTTAACAGGTTACATAATGTCTCCGCCCATGGTCTCAAGTTAGCAAATTAACATTTAATTAATACTTTGATAAAATGTTATCAGTATAAAATATATATGTTGAATTCTGATTTGGAGTCCATAAGAATGGAGAAACTCCTTTGATTGTCCAACAGGTACATTCCTAGGTGTTAAAGCAAAGAAACAGTGAAAGTATATGGCAATAAAGATTGTCTCCTTTATGTCTTAAGGCAAGGCATTGGTCCCTTGGAAGGAAGGTGGGACGATGCCATATCTTATACTGACATGTGCCAACTTTTCATAAACTCAAGGTTAGATCTGTGGGAAGAATGTCTCCCTACAGAAGAAACTAACACAATAGGAACAGGGATTCTTTGTTCAATCTGCAACTCTGAATAAGGGTATGTCTACACTACGAGAGTAGTTCGATTTTACTTAAATCGAATTAGTGGAACCGATATTACAAAGTCGAACGTGTGTATCGACACTAAGAACAGTAATTTGACTTTGTGAGTCCACACTAACGGGGCAAGCGTCGACATTGGAAGCAGTGCACTGTGGGCACCTATCCCGCAGTCCCCGCTGCCCATTGGATTTCTGGGTCGAGCCCCCAATGCCTGCTGGGGAAAAAAATGTGTCGAGGGTGGTTTTGGGTAACTGTCATTCAACCGTCACTCCCGCCCTCCCTCCCTGAAAGCACCAGCGGGCAATCAGTTCGCGCACTTTTCTGGTGAGTGACATCGCGGACGCCACAGCACTGCAAGCATGGAGCCCGCTGCGACCATTGCTGCAATTATGGCCGTTGTCAACACCTCGCACCTTATCATCCACCTTTTTCAGAGGTGAATGCTGAGAAATCGGGCGAGGAGGCTATGGCAGCGCGGTGAGGACATGAAGTCTGAGAGTGGCACAGACCTCTCGCAAAGCACAGGCCCTCGCGCCGTGGACATCATGGTGGCAATGGGTCATGTTGATGCTGTGGAACGGCGATTCTGGGCCTGGGAAACAAGCACGGACTGGTGGGACCGCATAGTGCTGCAGGTCTGGGATGAATCACAGTGGCTGTGAAACTTTCGCATGCGTAAGGGAACTTTCCTGGAACTTTGTGAGTTGCTGTCCCCTGCCCTGAAGCGCAAGGACACCCGGATGCGAGCAGCCCTGACTGTCCAGAAGCGAGTGGCCATAGCCCTCTGGAAGCTTGCAACGCCGGACAGCTACCGGTCAGTCGCGAACCACTTTGGTGTGGGCAAATCTACCAGGGGGTTGCTGTGATGCAAGTATCCAACGCAATCGTTGAGGTACTGCTGTCAAAGGTAGTGACCCTGGGAAACATGCAGGTCATCATAAATGGCTTCGCCGCGATGGGATTCCCAAACTGCGGTGGGGCTATAGATGGAACTCACATCCCTATCCTGGGACCGGACCACCAGGCCAACCAGCACATTAACAGAAAGGGCTACTTTTCAATGGTGCTGCAAGCACTGGTGGACCACAGGGGACGTTTTACCAACATCAACGTCGGATGGCCGGGCAAGGTTCATGACGCTCATGTTTTCAGGAACTCTGCTCTGTTTAGACGGCTGCAGGAAGGTATTTACTTCCCGGACCACAAAATAACTGTTGAGGGTGTGGAGATGCCTATAGTGATCCTCAGGGACCCAGCCTACCCGCTAATGCTCTGGCTCATGAAGCCCTATACAGGCGCCCTGGACAATGCAAAAGAACTCTTCAACTACCGGCTGAGCAAGTGCAGAATGGTGGTGGAGTGTGCTTTTGGACGTCTCAAGGGGAGATGGAGAAGCTTACTGACTCGCTCTGATCTCAGCGAAACCAATATCCCCATTGTTATTGCAGCTTGCTGTGTGCTCCACAGTCTCTGTGAGAGCAAGGGGGAGACGTTTATGGCGGGGTGGGAGGTTGAGGCACATCGCCTGGCTGCTGATTATGCCCAGCCAGACAGCCGGATGATTAGAAGAGCCCAGTGGAACGCGCTGTGCATCCGGGAGGCTTTGAAAGCTACGTTCCACAGTGAGCAGGGTAACCTGTGACTATTATGTTTGTTTAAAGAGAAGCTGAACCTGCCCCCATTTCTTTACCCACTTAATGTTCACTATCCTCTCCAGTTACATACCCCCTTCACCCCGTTGCCCCCCTTCCAACACACCATTAAAAATAAAATAAATGGAACTTTGTTCATTAACACAGTTGTCTTTAAGGGTTTCGTGGTAAAGGGTTGAAACTGGGATGCAGACTGTGGTGGGGAGCGGGTGTAGTAATGGAAAGGACGCTTCTAAACTCGAGGAATGACAGGCTCCTGCTCCTAGAGCGGTTTGCAGTGGTGGACTGGTTGTTTCAACGGAGTCTGCCACCCCTCCTTTTCAGGGCTCTGTGTGTGGGGACTATGTGACTTTGGCGGGGGAGGATGATTACAGATCCCCTGCTGCGTGGCTCTGTCATCCCGGCTAAGGACCACTGCATAAGATCTGTAACCGCCCTCCCCGCCACAAACTCACATAGCCCCCACACACAGAACATGAAAACTACCTCCCAGACTGACCAGAGTGCCTAGTGACTGCAATGTGTGACCTGCTGCTGAACCTGCCTCCGTGTCTGTACCCTGGTAAAGGTGACTGTCCTCTCCAATTACCAACCCCCTTTCCCCGCTTCAAACACACTGTCCTGTAAAAGAACCTGACAGAAACAGTAATTAACAAAAACATATTTTTTATTAACAACTACACAGTTAGGGGATGACACTGGGACGGGGGCTTGGGTGAGGTGCTTTTGGAGTGAAGGAAAGGACTTATCAAAACTTTGGGAATGAGAGACGTCTGGTACTTGAGCAGTCTGCAGGGGTGGAGTGACTGTTTTCACGGCCCCTGCTGCCCCTCCTTCTTAGGACTTTGGGTGAGGGAGGGATGGGACTTTGTGGCGGGGGAGGGCAGTTATAGATAGACTGCAGCGGGGCTCTGCCCTCCTGCCTCCGGTCCTGCAGAACATCCACAAGGCGCCGTAGCGTGTCCGTTTGCTCCCTCATTAGTCCAAGCAGCGTTTGAGTCACCTGCTGGTCTTCCTGCCGCCACCTGTCCTCCCGTTCGCTGTGTGATTGCTGATATTGCGACATGTTCTCCCTCCACTGGGTCTGCTGTGCCGCCTCGGCTCGGGAGCAGCCCATAAGTTCGGGGAACATCTCGTCCCATGTCCTTCTCTTTCGGCGCTTAATCTGCGCCAGCCTCTGGGAGGGGGATGCCGGGGTAGCTCGGGAGACACTCGCAGCTGTGGGATGGGAAAAAGGGAGTGAATTCCTCACAAAGATACATTTTTGTGAACAATGAACATAGTCTTTCTCTGTGAACAAGACCATGCACAGCACCTATCACATGCGCACTCAGGACAAGGTCGAATTTTCGACCTTCCCATTCAGTGCCTGGGGTCTTGGAATACAGATCACACAAGCGGAGCAGGACAGCGGAATTCGGGTAGCAGGCGGACATGGTAAGCTGTAGACTTTTGGCTGCTGAAAGCTTAATTTATAGCAGTGCCCTCCTTTCACGTTCAAAGCAATACCCCTAGCGTTGGCCAGTTCCTGCTGCCGGCAATCCCGCCAGCATGATCTCTGCCCCTGTCCCACCCCCCTCGTGGCTGTCCCCGGGAAAGATCCCTGTATGCTGCCCCTGTCCTGCCTCCACCGCGTGGCTGTAAACCGCCGGTTACAGTTCTGTAAAGGAACAGGCAATCAGTCCCAATACTAACATTCCCCTAATTTAAAGTAGGTCACCATGAGTGATATCACTCTGATGAGGATTTCGGACACAGAGAAAGACCGGATGCTGCGTGAATGCCAGCAAAAACCAGGACCGTATGCGGCCATGCTGTGCAAGGCACTGATCCCGGAGTACTTGCTGCTAGCCTGGCGCAGAAAAGTTTCCTACCATGGAAATAAGGCCGCTCTCCCCAGGAACCTAATGCAAAGGCTTTCAAATTACCTCCAGGAGAGCTTCGTGGAGATGTCCCTGGAGGATTTCTGCTCTATCCCCGGACATATTGACAGAATTTTCCAGTAGCTGCACTGGCAAAGACTAAAAAGTAGAGCGCCTAGGGCAAAGTAATCATGCAAAACCCATTTTTAATATTCCATTCCTGTTCTGATCAAAATAAATGTTTACATGTTTAAAACACTTACCAACTGATCCTTCCCCTGATTCAGGGTCAGGGTTAACGCCTTGGGAGGGTTGGTAAGGGATCCAGCTCCGAAAGCACGGACTCATCGCCCCACACAGCGATCAGATCCAAGACTTCCCGATCAGTCCATGCTGGGGCCCTCTTTCTATTCTGCGATTGCATGGTCACCTCTGCTGGAGAGCTCTGCATCGTTGCCAGTGCTGCTGAGCTCACCACGATGTCCAAACAGGAAATGAGATTCAAACTGGCCAGACAGGAAAAGGAATTCAAATTTTCCCGGGGCTTTTCCTGTGTGGCTGGTCAGAGCATCCGAGCTCGGACTGCTGTCCAGAGCGTCTACAGAGTGGTGCACTGTGGGATAGCTCCCGGAGCTATTAGCGTCAAATTCCATCCACACCTACCCTAATTCGACATGGCCATGTCGAATTTAGCGCTACTCCCCTCACCGGGGAGGAGTACAGAAATCGAATTAAAGAGACCTCTATGTCGAACTAAAGAGCTTCGTTGTGTGGACGGGTGCAGGGTTAATTCGATTTAATGCTGCTAAATTCGACATAACCTCCTAGTGTAGACCAGGCCTAAGACACAATTATTTAGTTCTTAGCTCCAACACCTGGCAATTTGCTGACTAGTCTTATTTTAGCAAAACAAGATTATCTGTTTACCCCAGCTTTCTCTTAGCTGATCACTATTTGCTAGGCCTCTGGTCTCTTGACCATACTCTGGACTTTGGGTCTGG